ATACATTGCCGGCTTTGAGATGGCCACATTATGTTAAATGCTATATGTTTCTGAAACACTGAACAGACCACTGTTGTGGTGGTCGCAGATAATATGCAGATTTCTGGGGCTTCTGATAATGGCAAATTCATGTTCAAGTCTTCAACAGTCACTCTTTCAATTCTTAAGAAACCACGTCCAGATTCCACTAATAACAAGCCAGCAAAGGAGAAGCCAAAGAATCAGGAGGCAGGACCGACCACTGTTGCAAGCAGTGGATTGCAGTCATTATGCCAACAATATGGAAGTGATGAAGATGATTGATATCAGAAAGAATTGTAAATCGATGTCTTCTTTCAATGTTTCCTGGACTAAGCAGTGGCTTCAATTTATTTCTGAAGCTGATAAATGTTTTGTTGTTTATTTCGATTTTTATCTCCACTCCAGAAAATCATTCACAGCTGCTTCCCGTGGTTTTGATCAAGATGCATGAGCTTCAACCGGAACTTCAGTATATGGCTCCTCTGAACCTTGAGAACTGAATCTATGTTCAGAAATGGTTTGATGAAGGCCTACGTAAAGCTTTTCTTCTTTTCTTATGTTCTGTGTCAGAGAAACTCAAAATACGCACATAAACCAAACCCGTTGGACAGCCTTGAATTGCATTTTACTGTGTGTAGGATATCTTATATGGATGGATGAGGAAATTAACTCAATTTGTAAGTACAGATGCAAATTGTTGTTGTTCTTGAATGTCAGTAAAAATTATCTGCTATAGATGAGTTTTTGCGCCCACCCAATTTTGAATTTGGCATTGCCCCAATGGTGGACCAATATTTTAACTCAAGTGTGCGTGGATGAATTGACACGTTTAGCGTTAAATGGACGCAAAATTAGTAGCAATCTTTTTCACTGTTGAGTTTTACTACCAATTTTCATGAAGTCCACAAATAAGAAGTTTGTTGCCAATCTAAAATCAACGTGCACACCTCTCACTTAGAACATCGTAAATGTTTGTCCATTAGGAGTTTTAAAGGTTTTGTTTAATGAACTAGTTCCTTTGATTTAACAATTGAATTTCATTGGTTAATTCCTTCGTTTTGTCTCTCAAATGTGACTATCATGGTGGACACACATCTAATTGTCAGAACTAGTCATGTTCTATGTCCACGGTAGATTGACTTTGGCAATAGTATAACTTCCAACCAAGAATCTCGAGCCAACTAGAATTTAATTACTTGTTTGAGTCACATTATTGGAATGAAAATGTATTTTTTAATAGTATATTGATGGAAAATGTGTGGTTAAAAATAAGGAAATGTTTTGAATTTGTGTGTAATATTATTTTATTAAAGAACGTGTGGTTGAAATGATATCAAATCATTATTGAAAAAATATTTTTTTTTCAAATAATGTGTTCAAACAAGGGCTGTGGTATAACTCTCAATCAAGAATCTGGAGCCAACTAGAGATTCATTACTCGAAAATTATACTTTTACAATAGTGTAACTCTCAATCAAGAATTTAGAGCCAACTAGAGCTTAATTTCTTGACAACTATGCTTCAACGGGATCTATTGTATACATTAATTATAAATCTTTACTCAAATTAATATCTAATTTCTTGATTCCTGATTGCCAAGGATCATAACCCACCCAAAGACATCCACGTATGAAATTTAAAACTATTCCAATTCACTGAATGCACGAGTTATTAGCAAGAGATGGACAAAAAATTGAAGTCTGCAGAACCATAAAATTCTGCAACAAAAATTCCGCAAAAAATCATGCAAAATTTCCCTTATTGAGCTAATTAACTAACTGGTGAAGCTAAACTAAACTAACCTAACCGTGTTGTCCGAAATCACCAAACGGAGCAATGCAATTGCCATAATCGTAGTTACCAATGTGGTTCTGATTCACCAGAATATCATCGAAGGAACATGGTTCAATGGTCGGATTAAATCCAGTCATGGGGGCACCAGCAGCCAATGAACTCGAACTATGTAACAGCATAAGATCATTGGCTTTTATATTCACATTTTTCATTAACTCTTCCAACTTCGTCATGTAAAGTTCGAGTTCATCCAATTCCAGGCCGTCCACCGCCGCATCCCACCAGAATCCGTCACTACCGTCGTCCACCCTTTTGGCCTCGTCTATTGCCTCTTTGCGCTTCTTCTCCACCTCTAACTCCCTCGAAATATGCGAATAATGCCTGTTGTAGTCCGGCATGTTTGGGAAGTTATTTTCCACGAGGGCCTGAGAGTTGGATTCAGAATTCCTGCTGCTTCCATTCAGAAAGCGTTCAATTATTGAATCGATGTTAGGATGACCGAAAGTAAACACGCGTTTGCCTAAAGAATGGACGATAATGGCGATTTCTGCGCCACTCAGTATGCAGAGTTCACTGGCTTTTTTGAAAAGCCCTCCTCGGCGCTTGGAGAAGGTGACTTGCCTATTGCTCAGATTTTCGATTTTCTTTATTTCAATTTTTTTCCGGCCTTGAGTCGTCTTCTTCATCATGCCAATGATACTACCATTGATCTCCATATTGATTCAGAGAATTTATTGTGTGTTCAAGAAACTGGAACTATATACAGTACACACGCTCTTATATATTTAGAGAGAGAGAGAGAAGAGAGAGAGGAGACTTCGATTGACAGAGAATAGTAAAAGGAAAGTTCGGAAAAAAATATTGATTTACTTAATATAAACCGTTGAATTAATGCTTGAGTCAAAGGGAAAATTTGGAAAGGAAATCAATCAATTTACAAATTGATTGAGACCGTATTTTGAAATCTTGACGCAATAAATACATTAACAAGTTTCCTTTTTCAACTACATTTTAATTGCAAAAGAATCCGTAGCTTTAACACATTATATCATTTATGTCACTAATATTTTTTCATCTCATTCTTACTCTCATATTAGCTTAAATTGTTTGTGATTATAATTTTTGTTCAAAATTTTCTTTAAAATGGATAAAAGACTCATTTGCCTGTTTTATTTTTATAATAATAAAAATAAATATTTTTTTGAACAAAAATTATGATAAGGACAAAATTTTTTGATCAATGAAATGTTAAAATTAGAATGTGACAAGGAAAAAAGTTAAGATGTGAATGTGATAATAAATAAATGTTAATGATTTTTAATATAATTAAAATTATAATCACCCTTATTATATAATTTTAAATTTTTTAAGTTTAATATATAATTTCTTTGGTAATATTAAAAAGGTGAAATTGCAGCAGTGGTCCCTAACCTTTTCATTTTTTATAAACTTTACCCTAATCTTCATTTTGTGCTAGCTGAAGTTCCTAACATTTCATAAATATACACTTGAGATCCATCTGGATAAAAATCGTTCAAAACACTGTCAGTTGACCGAGAAAATTAAGAAATCAACATCCAATAAAATCGTCCAAAAACATCGTTAAGAAATGTATCAACATCCAATAAAATTGTGGCAGTAGGAGATAGTTTAAGGATTTTTCTTTGCCAACTGACGGTGTTCAGATGGACCTCGGGTGCATATTTATGGAAGGTTAAAGACCTTCGCTGACACAAAATTAAGTTTAGGGTAAAGTCTACAAAAAATGAACAGCTTCGAAACCACTGCTGCAATTTTCTCTATTAAAAATGGGTGGTATGTATATGTGACGTAAGTAGTAGTGAAAAAAATTTGATTTCGGCTTATTACAAACGATTAATAAACAATAGCCAAGCATGGGCTAAATCAGAATTCATAATTGAACAAACAATTGACAAATTTTATATCGTATCTCCTTTTTTTTTATTCACGACCAGTCATGCTCAGTACGACATACCATACATGTCCAAGTCCTTGACTAGTCCAATAACTTTGAAACAAGGAGCAGCAGCATAGCATAACAGGTTCGTTAATACAACATTTTTTATCCTGTAATAGAACTGCTTTTGCAAAAGTACCACAAAATATAATTAACCCCAAATTCCTTGCTAAATCATTACATAGCATTGAGATGTAAAAATTGAAAACTGATAAATGCAGAGAACAATGTACTGCAATTGCATTTGCACTTCCATCAAATATGCTCAAAAGCATGAAATTGAAAAAAACTGATGAACCATGGCCAACAATTGACGAAGAGAATCCAACTATCAAGCCGAGAATATGTACATTGTAGTTTGTTACTCTTACAATTTTATTTACACCTTTGTTAACAGATGCCGAGGAGACATGCATTTTAGCTCTTGATTTGAATAATGAGCATCTGTTAATAACAGTGTAAAACAATCTCTGTACAAGTAGCTTAACTGATGTACATTACTCTTGTACTTAACCTGAGACTGTTAGTACTCTGTAATCTGTATCCCTGTCCTTTAGCTGTTACAATACAATTTTTGGTGGCCAACCTTTGCCTGAAATGAAATCCAAAACCCAAATACAACCTATATATTCTCGCATCAAATAAAACCCCAAATCCTTGATATAAAACTAATAATTCTCACTGAGGAATCTCGTCCCTAATGTCAGTGTAAGGAATCACAATACGTACATTCATTTAAATCCAGACTGAAATCACTTGGTATAAAGCTAGAAACTCTATGCACCAACACTGATGAATGAGAGGGTACCTGAACTGTTGGAAATCGAGTAGCAATACAATCTTTATCTACTAGAATCACTTTCACTGTTTTTCCAAGTGTACATTCATATTCAAGGAATGAACAAATTTTCTCACGTTGTTTTTTCAATTTATGGCGCCGAAATAAATGTGTTGTGGTGTGTAAATTGGTAAGCGACTCCTCTATACCTTAGCTAGTTCCATGCAACACCTGGTGCACTTGTCCTGGCTCGAGCCTCGGCCAATGAAACAGCCATGGCTAGCATCATCTGCTCCTCAAAACTATCTGGAACAATGGTTCCTGTAACAGGTTGGAAGCTACACTCACCCTCATATTGTTGGGGGACTGCAGCAGAACCTGAATAGCTGGTTCCAACTTCAGTCAACTCCGATCTATGATCGACCCATTCTCCAGAATCCCTGGGCATTACCAGCTGACTATCAGGTGATGCAACAATGGCGCTTTCTGCAGGAAAGTAATTTTCAGATTCTTGTTCCTGGTTGGCAAAACTGCTACACCCAGGCATGTTATATGTAGCCATGTGGCTGCCATAGTCACTGGACTCTCCACCCATATGTTGATGCTCGGCTAGGGCTGCTATTGCACAAGCAAGACCACCAGAAGGAGTTGACGAGGAAACAGCCACTGGGGCCATCAATGCTGACACACTTTGATCTTCTCCCGTGCATTCTTCTGATGCAGCTGCTTCACTGTAGGGCGGATTTTGATGCCTGCCACTCTCCTATCATAATTACATGTGCACAATAAACAAGTACATGTCGTCTTTAAGTCAACAAGAGGTCAGAGTAGAAGATTGAAGGTCAAATTCGCTAACGTTATGAATGAAACTGAAAATATAGATAGACAATAAGAACATTTTAATGCTAATAAAAATGTTCAGATTGACGTGTTCAGATTTTAATGCTAATAAGAACATTTTACTAGGTGTGTAGCAACATCAGATTGACAAAACCAAATGCAGTCTTTCAAGTAAAGCTTACAGAAGGCTGTTAACTTTCTGAGTCCAACCATTAATGATTGATTTTGCAAATAAATACCTGGATAGACAGCCAAATGGATTCCATAACCATTATATCCTCAAGATCCAGGTCGAACTCATCTTCCCTGCATTAGAAGATAGAATAAGGACACTAGAGGTAGTATCTGACACCCAAGTTCATTATAAAAATCACCGGAGTAGCAACGGCCTATCCAGTTATCAACATAACTTTCTAATGTCTTATCTATAACTTTCTAAAACACATTCCCTTTCTACTCTATTGAATGATATTTCCATATGAGAAAATTTGGAAGACATTTAAAATTCAAGCAAGGACCAGAAGCTCAATAGATCAACAAGATATTGAAGAGTTTTTCAATGCAGATTGAGTTTGCATTATCATTTTATTTATGGACTAAATACTATAAGGTTGTTTATAACTTTTCAACAATTAGCTACGATATTTTAATTCTATTAATCAGGAGCTAATTCCTGGAACATATTAGGAAAAATCAGAGATAAATTAGGCTTGAATTTTTGTCGGTGCATCCATAAATTAGTTGTAGGGTTAAGATAACTAATACTGGCCAAGGGCATATTTCCCCACGTGGCCCGAAATGATTAATTAAAGTTACAACTTTAACCCACAACTTCAATTTATAAATTAGCACCTCCAACTCCCCAAATTTGACATGGGACAGTGGACAATCACATACAGGGTCCACAAAACCCCCTGATACTCTTGTTAGGGACTATCAACCCTAAGATTGACCAATTACCATTTTAGAAAACTCGAGGCCAACCACTAGACCCATGAATATACCGATACTGTAGCGATGAGGTAAGAACTTGGGAGATACTTTTGACCAGGCCTAAACTGGATAAAGCAAGTTAATAACTTGAACCAATAATTCTTACTTGAAGTTAGCACCTAGGACCACCAACAATTAATGCTGCAGCCATATCCAGTGTATTATAAAAAAATAGGTAGAGGATTGTTAATTTGTAATGTTCCACAAGAAGCCCGTAGCCGACGAAGAATGCAGAATTAATTTATAATGACATGTTTCCCAAAAATAATAACCAATAAGCATAAATGTTCTCTACCTCCCTTAACTCCTGTATAATCCATAACATTCTTCAAACGATTGTAAGATTTTGAAAATGTTTTCAATTTTGAAGAAACCTAATGATCCTATGAAAGATCAATTATAAACATAGTTAAAGGAAATGGAAGAAGATATAAGCATCATGAAAATTCTCGCTTGGAGGATAAAAATAAAGTAACTTCTGTTAGGTCTAAATGTGTAATTGGCGATTCTGTGGACAAAAAGGACTAAATTGTATAATTGTAAAAGTCAGGGGCTTAATTGAACATTGGTGTAAAAGTCAGGGACTAAGGGTGCAATTTGTATAGATGAGGTAAATTAGTGTTCGAGTTGTTGAAGGAGCCCAAGATGTCCAAGAAGATGACAATAGATCATCGGAATACAATTGGAAGTCTAAAGGATATCAAAGAGCCGCACAAAATATGTTTCGAATTTTCAGTCATAATTTTCAATGCATTTTTCATATAGAAAACGTTAGAATTTGGACAAGACTATTTCTAGAAGAATTGTAGCCCTTTGAGTTAGCTTTCCAACGCAACTTGAATCACCTCAATTGGACATTGGACAAGAAAGTTACGACGAAAATACAGACGACTGCTCACTGTCGCTCGCTTTTCGCTGGCATTTCTTTTCGATTCTCGTTGGCATCTCGCTCGAGCGACACTCCTATGCGGCAAAAATCCTATTTCGCATTTTTGAAGTATTTTACTCGGCCCATACCACCTAGATACCTTAAAATATAAATACCCAAACCCTAGCACGAATTTTCAGAGGTTGCTACATTATTCTTTCATTGCAAAAGATATTCATAACATCTTTGAAAAGATCCAAGGTGCAATTAATTGGAGATTTCATCTACATCAATCTTGTGATCCGGCAACCATTGTTTTAGGTAAAAACATTGAATTTACATAACCCAAAACACCTTACTTCCTTAATCTATTGAGGAAGGGTCTCTCTCATTGGAGGATTGAGAGAGGTGGATTGAGGCGCAGTTACAAGCACAAGAATTGACGGTTTTTGGTGTTCCACTTGGTGATACAATCAACTAAGGACCAGGAGGTTGTAGTGGACAGCAGATTTGGCTGCAAAAGGTAGATTAGGAAATCTAGCAAGAGGCTAAAAGCATCTACAACAGTAGATCGTGAGATTGGAACAACGGGTCTGATTGGGTACGGAGTTTGGTATAACTTGTACTTACTAAATTGGTATAGTGGAGGTAACTGGTTTGGTACTGGAGTTTTACCCACGTTGGGGTTTCTCCGTCATCATATTGTTTGTTATTTACTGCTTTGCATAATATACAAACTGCGGCACTCCAACATCGGTTAATTGACTTGTATGATTAATCACCTAGATAACTAATTAAAGTGACTTGTTGCTTTATTTAGATTAATTCCGCATGTCAGGTCAAATTAGTTAAAGTGAAATCTAGAACGTAAACTTGGTAACGCATAAAATTTGAACTTAATACTATATCACGTTAGTCAAACTTTCTAGCCTATCTAAGCGTTCTAGGTAAAAAAAAATTTCAACTTCAAAGATATTGGGGGATACCAAATTCATGGGAATTATATAGCAACTACTGAAACATAAAACAAAATGGATTAAATGTATCTTTTGTCATTGACGATTGACAAGTGCTGGAGGACAAGTTTTAATGAAATTGGCATTACATGAAGAAAAAGCAATGGAAATATAGCAATAAGTTTTTGTATAAGTTTTAAATAAAGAAATGTGGTTGAATAAATTACGGAGTACTGTCACGTTAAAAAGATGTCAATTTTTTGCTATTATTACAGGATGACATTATATTTATACCATTCTCCAAACCAGCTCTCAATTACTATAATTTTCTTCTCCATGTCAGTTGTTGTATCAAACCAATTTCTCTAGCTTAAATTTCATCAGATTGGTTTCTAGACTATATTTTTGTTACACTATTTTTTGGGCTCTGGATATCCATGTATACCAAGGAACTACTAATTTAATCCATCATATTTCCATTCACTATTGACTACATATAAATGGTTAATTGTTATCAAAAACTCATAAACCAACTCAAAACCATCACACTGAACTCAACACACCAATAATTTAGTCATTTTGTTCAAGGTTCAAGCAGATGGAGAACCACCATGTAATGACAATTTTAAAGCAGAAGTACAGTCACTAGTATATTCCTTCCACTGAAATGAAGAACTCAAAAGGCAATTCTTAATTGATATTTGTCGTCCTTCGCAAAATCTCTTAAGAAACATATGAAGACTTGCCACTCCCACTGAGGAGACGTCCAGAAAAAGATTCATGTCATGCGCGAAACAAAAATCCGCATTCTTTCATTGTTTTCTAAACTAGCAATCTCTAAACCCATCGATGAAGATGAAAAGTCGGATATGAATGCAAGTTTAAGGTCTACCAAATCAAGTAAAAGGACGAGAAATGGTGTTGGATAAGGACCTATGGACAGATAGCAAACTTCCTCACAGTTACGGCCATTCCATGGCAGGACCAGACCACTGCTAGAGCCAGGGACTCAATTATGCTCGTCTGTTTCTTGTTTTCAGCTAAGAATTGATTTATGCATGCCTATGCTTACTTGCACACCAAAATTGATGTTGCTTTCAGGTTAATGGAGCATAAGAACGAGTTCCCCACATTCCCCAAGAAGGAAACAAAATGAAGTTGGCATTAGGCTATTTTCAAACTGTCAACATATTTGTTGCTCTGTCAAATGAAGCATCTCCATGTGGTTGCTGGAATTAAATTGCAAATGTCTAGATGTTATGATTAACCAGCACTGTTTGGAAGCTCTAGATAGAATTGCACCACGACATCCTAATGGAGCATCGAAAGCTCCTGAACATTCCCTTGAGTTAACTCCAATACTAAGAAAGTTAGCAGCTACAGACTACGAAAGAAGATATCCACTTTAGAAAGTTAAATTCAACATATAAGAATTTATGACAGTTTAGCTACTGGAATTTTCAGAGAAAAAGAGAAATATAATGGACTGAACAAATCAGGTAACTCACAGGAACGGGGGATTAAAACCCAGTCACATACTGCAGGAACCTGCTGCAAATAAAGGTCTAGGCAAGCTCCTATAAATATAATGTTCTATAATAAAATTATTAATAACTAATAATATAGGAAGATATTTTGTCTTCAGT